CACCATGTATACATCACTTCAGGGGACATTACATTGACTTACATGCATTTCCTGGAGACTTATCCTAACCTTAACCATAACCAACACATGCCTAACCCTTACCCTAACCAAGTCTTCACCCTAAAATTAATGATCCCCCCTCCATTGTGTCCCCATAAGGGAGCACACACACACACACACACACACACACACACACACACACACACACACACACACACACACACACACACACACACACACACACACACACACACACACACTAACACCATGTATACATCACTTCAGGGGACATTACATTGACTTACATGCATTTCCTGGAGACTTATCCTAACCTTAACCATAACCAACACATGCCTAACCCTAACCCTTCCTAACCAAGTCTTCACCCTAAAATTAATGATTCCCCTTATGGGGACCTCCATTGTGTCCGCATAAGGGAGGTGAGTCCCCACACGTGACTGTAAACAGATTCAGGTCCCCACAAGTATAGTAATGCTGGGCTACACATACACACACACACACACACACACACACACACACACACACACACACACAAACACAATGTTTATCCCCTCATTCACACTCTCTGTGTCGTATTTGTGTGGATATTGAACATGGTTGCCCTTCTGTCTATGTCTTTATTCCGTTTGGCATCATGTATGAGGAAACAGAACAGGGGGTCGAACCTCTGCAATGAAGGGCCCCCTCCCTGTGCCTTTCAAACATTAGAACAAGATACACTCCACATGGATCTTGTGCTTTGGTTTATCTAGTCCTCTAACATGAGATAAAAGCGGACAGAGCGATCATGTTATGGGTGTTATTCATATTTTACAGAACACGTGTGTACAGGCTTTTGGGATCATGTGTGATCCTGTGACGCTTCAAAAACTCACCTCTTCTTCATAAAGCTGAACCTCAAGAGGTCAGTGTGGTGTGTTTGGAGTGTCAGAGGACCGGAGGACACACTGAGGGGACACCTGAACCTGAACAGAGTCATAGCACACACTCCTGATCCCCAGGGAGGTCAGGGTGGAGCTGATTTTTGTTGTCTGTGTGGCAGAGGCCTTCCAGAGCACCGTGGAGCAGTTTGGCCGTCTGGACATCGTTATCAACAATGCCGGCATCAACAATGAGAAGAACTGGGAGAAGACCATCCAAGTGAACCTGGTAAGAGGAAGAGAAGAATGCACTTTAACACCCTCAGTGTTTGGCCCTCCATTTCTTACTGTGTGTGTGTCAGGCTCTCTGTGGCCCTCAGGACCACGACCACCTCGGGGGACCTGCCAAATATGAAAACACAATGAATTACTCAAATGACTGAACACCTTAAATTAAAAAATGTAGGTTTTAATATATTTCAGTCATGCATCTTACTTTTATTGTATAAATAGAATAAAAGCATGACCAAGGACTTCACTACCTCTGATAAAGAAAATAATTGACCTTGTTGTTATGATCATAAAGTGCTGTTGTGATGATTCTCACAATGTGATGAATACAACTGCAAGTGTTTAACCCTGTCAAAGTGTGCTTGAGTGTAAGAGAGTAGATAATGTATTTAAAGTCAAGTTACTTTATATAAAAACTGAGAAACAGCCAGTAAACATGGGGCAAGAAGATATTACAAGAATAAATAAACCCTGAAGGATCCCCCCCTGCAGAGGATGGAAAGATGTGTGTAGTTTGACAGAATGCAGGTAAGTCAGGCTGCAGCATCACAAACAGTGACCCATGTTCCTAACATGTGGAACCTCTGGACGGGAGGCCAGACGTAAGTTAAACAGTTAATGCAGGCGGGAGAGCCCGGAGGTGACTCTGATACAAACCAAACACCATACAATGTTACAATGATGAGAACATATCTGAAAACCCCTAAACTTTCTGTCAAGAAGCTGCAGTAGAATATAGTCTGGATACTGCAAGGCGTAACCAATGATACTAAAATATAATTCAAGGAAAGCTTTTGTAAAATACATACAGTACTCCATGACTAAAGGTGAGCAGAAGAGGGTCCTGCTGGGGGAACTTAGACACCTTAGGGTATGGAGAGCTCTCTAGGACCATGAGAATATCAGACACACTGCTCCATTACAGTGTCGCTTCCTTCAGGAGGTCCTCCTTATTTGAAGATTCCTTCAGGATGGAGAATGTGTTCCTAGAAACACTACAGCTAGCAGGAACACAGGCGTAAAATGTGAAAAATATTATACAGAGCAAGAAGTTTATTAAAAGATGACAAAAAGTGTGAACAAATAAAGTATCTAAAGTGCTGTACTGTGATAGAAAGACCTTGTACCTTAACAGAGACTCTGAGCGGTGGAAGACTCTACCTTATATCTCATCTGTCTCACGTGTGCTTGCTCTTATCAAGTCCTCAGATAAGAGTGTTTTTTATGGACAGGGTTTTTGAAGTATCCCGTGAATGCGTTAGAGCATGTAAACAGGACATCTGAATTTCAGAAACCCAGGCACTCCTTATCCAGTTTATGAGAAACCCGAAAATGATATCTACAGTGGGAACTCCCCCCCCCCCCTCTAAACAGGACACTTAAGTGGCCTGAAATAGTTATGCCAAAATGTGTAATTAATCACAGTTGAAAAAACATGCAAAAATATGCATTAACTGTATATCCACAATTGGGTTTCCACAACATAAAGCTTACAGAGAGAGGAGCGAACAGATGTCCTCTGAAAACACAAGCAGAAATAGCTTTACTGATCAATAGGGTCACATGTTTCAATCTTGGTTCCTGCATTGGTCGACACTTGCCTGCAGAATGTTCTCCTCTTGTCTCTACAGACCTCTGTGATTAAAGGGACCTACTTGGCACTGGAACACATGAGTAAAGAGTACGGCAAGGAAGGAGGCATCATCATTAATGTATCCTCTATGGCAGGTAACACACAAACACACACACACACTCGCACACACCACTGTTACTTCAGATCTGAAGAGAAAACATGATGATAAAGGCTAAAATACCAAATTCAAGGCTTCAAAACTGTGGTCCTCAAACCAATGTGTCTAAGTGGACTATGTCCTTTTCTTCTTTGTAAAGTCTATGCTTAGCCTAACATTGTCACTTTCACAACGGCCAGTTTTTTTAGTTTTTTATTCCAATTCAAAGTCCATCTGTCTCATCTGCAATGCGAGCGTGGGTTTATCGAAGAAGGGTAATTTAGAAGCGGCATTTCGAAACCGTGCACAAACGCTACGAGACAGAATTCCTCCTAATTCTGCCCTACACTCCCACAAGGGGAGGGACCAGAAAGGACAGCTAAATGCACAGCAGTCCATTTTCACCAGGCCCAACAACAAGAGCAAGGCTGCTACCATAGCATCTTATCGTATCAGTCACATTCTTGCCAAACACATGAAGTCTTTCAAAGACGGCGAAGTTGTGAAAGAAGCATTCCTGGAGGCTGCCGACGCGCTTTTGGGGACAGTAAAAATAACAGTAGCATTTCAACAGGTTTTTGATATAATAAAAACTCAAGTTAGATACTGTTATTAATCAGCTGTAAATTTTAGTTTGTTTGAACTTATTCATTATAATTATAGTACAAAATGGTATAAGAATGCAAACTTAAATTGATTATAGTCTATTATCAATTCAGGTTAAGAAACTAGTGTTGCTTGCATCCTATTTTAAAAGGCATTTATTTTTATACTCGACTAAAAGGCAACAAAAAAAGGGTTTAATTCTATTAACTTTGTCTTTTTTATTGCACTTTGGCAGCAGATTCCTGTGTAGCTTTAGATCTGAGTTATCTTATTAGTAAGCCTAATTTATACTTTTGGAGCAACACTATTTTTATATAATGGCAAAGAAAGGGTTCAGAGTCTTTTATTTTTTCCTGTGTCATATGTGCAGTGGTGGCTCCAGAGTATTTGTGTTGGGTAATCTATGGTAGGGCTAACC